CTCAGATATAGTCACAATGTAGGTCATTTTCACAAAGCAATGCCCTGTTTACCCCAATCAAAGGCTGTAGGCAGGACTCTGTGACACCCGAGCAGGCCAGGCAGGAACATGACCCTGAGCGAGTGGCTGGGCTGAGATGACCGACCCCAGGTGCCATCTGGCCTTTGCTCCCATCTTGGGGTTCTTCTCAAGGAATGAACGTAGACCTTGGTGTTCCAGGGTTGACCTTGGAAGTGGCAACACTGCCTGTTTTGACTCAGGACACCTGGGAGTGAAGCAGGAGCACTGTCAGGACTGAGGTCTGACAGGAAGCATTTGTCCCTGAGCAGAGGCAGGACTGAGAGACCTGATGCCGAGTTGGAAGCAGAGCTGGGTCGGGAGGGGAACTGGGTGCCTGTTGGGAGGTCTGGGGTAGGACTCGCGTGGAGCACAGGCTGGGTCCCCCAGCTGTGCCAGACTCTCAGCCTGTGGTGCCAAGGAAGGCTCCACGTCTGCCCACGGGAGTTTTCCAGGGACAGGCCAGGACAATGTCCACTGGGACACGGGGGATGAGAATCCTGTGGTGGAAAATACGTTGACCACCTCCTACCTCCAGTCTCTGCCTGTGGGTCACTGGACTCAGCCGCATCTGTGGGGGGATGGTGACAGGATGTGTTGATATTCTACTGACTTTCCCAGGAACTGAAATACCAGAACCTTTTTACCAGAACCACATCACACGGTGTCACTGGTATAGTAGGGGAATAATTAAAGCCTGCTGAGCTCTTGACAGTAACTCCACGGAGCAGCTGACACAGGTGCCAGGACCTGCCCTTGGAGGCAGCTGGAGGGGATGTGGCTGAGGGGGTGACACGCAGGCTGGGCCGAAAGTGAGAATGTGTGTGGTGAGCTGTCCCCTTCCCTTGGTGCATTCTGCTTCTCTCAGACTGTCACTCCCTGTCTCTGTCTGCCTGTCTGTCTGTCACTCTGGTGAAATCTGGGTTTCTCCCTCTTAGTCATGTTCTGTGTCATCCCTCCAGAGCAGCTGACCCTGTCTTACCTGACCCCGTGTCATGCACCCCTTCCTCCACTTTCTTCCTGTTCCACGTGGTGTGTGTGCCTCTGTATCTGTCTGTCGTGTTCATCACCTTAGTGACTTGTGGTGGTGAGCAGATCTTCAGGTGCCTGTTTTCACACGTGCATCTTCTTTGTTGGTGAAGTGTTGGATCAGATCTACAGATATTTTTAAAAATTTGGATCCTCCTGTTTGTGGGTGTGTGAACATGTATTTATTCTTATACACTTTTTCTTCTTCTTTCTTTCTTTCCTCTTTCTTTCTTTCCTTCTTCCTTTCTTTCTTTCTTTACTTTCCTCACCCAAGGACTTTTTTTTTTTCATTGCTTTTAGTGACAGACAAAGGCACACAGAGGAAGGGAGAGAGAGAAACAACAGTGAGAAAAAGAAGCATTATTTGGTTGCCTCCTGTAATCCCCCAGACAGGGTATCAAACCCACAACCTTATGATCAGAGGATGATGCTCCAACCAACTAAGCCCCCTGGCCAGGGCTATTTGCTTAGCGTATTACTTTTGGAACTTTATACACATGGTTCCTTGATGGGTTGGGATTGCCAAGTGTTTTTTCCCACTTTATTGTTTTCTTAAATTAGCTCCACAAGGGCCTTTTGTAGGACAAACTTTTTAATTTTAAAAGGTTTCCACTTATTTTCTTTCTTTTTACATATCAAGGGTTCCTATGAAGTCCAAGATCTTTTGCCAAGACCAAGATGCAAAAGATTTTCTAATTTTTCAAAAACATAATAAAAACTCCCCCAGAGGCACGTGACCAGTGTCACTGTGTCCTGGAGCAAATCCAGCCTCTGACACCAGCTTGACCACTGTCCCTACTGGTCCTGTTTCCAGCACCCCCCCACCCCCACACTGCACTGTGATCTCATCACTGGAGGGGACTGAGCCTTCTCCCTAAGACCAGAGAGAAGACTCAGCCCACCTGTGGGTGCAGGGGCTGGTCAGGGGTCAGCACTGTCCCCTGAACACCACAGAGAGCTCTGAGCAACCCGGGCACAGATCTGGACGTGAGGACCCAGCTTTAAACCCTCCACTGGCCCCAGCTGCTCTCTGCCCAGCGGGTGCCACTCAGCAAGGCCACAAGGGGAAGGAAGTGGATTTGCATGGAGCCCCTTTTGCAGGATAAGACAGGCCCCGAAGCCACATCGTCAGCTGTGGGTCAGAGGAAGATCCTGGGGCTTCTCCACCATGGCCTGGACCCCTCTCCTGCTCCCCCTCCTCACTCTCTGCACAGGTGCTGACTCCCAAGGCTAAGATCCTAAAGAAACCAGGAGCAACCTGGCCCTGACATTCGCTCAGCACAGGGGATGCTGCAGGGTGTGCGCAGTCCAGGAAGGAGACCCTCATCTTCACAGTCACCTCTCCTGTCCTCTCTTACAGGTTTGGTGGCCTCTTCTGAAGTTACTCAGTCCTCAGCAGTGTCTGTGACCTTGGGACAGACGACCAGCATCAACTGCCAGGCAGAGGCCTTAAAAATTACTTATCCTTCCTGGTTACAGCAGAAGCCAGGCCAGGCCCCTGTAACAGTCGTCTATGGTGACAACAATCGGCCCTCAGGGATCCCAGACCGATTCTCTAGTTCTGAGTCAGAGGACTGGAACACCCTGACCATCAGCAGGGCTCAGGCTGAGGACGAGGCTGACTATTACTGTGCAGTGTGGGACAACAGTGGTTATGCTCACAGTGACACAAGCAGGCAGGGAAGTGAGACAAAAACCACTGACTGTGTCACACTCTCTTTCACCCCAAATATGCCCAGGGACAAGGCCATGAGCTGGTCTGACTCAGGCCCCAGGTCTGAGATCCCCAGGCTGCCCCCTCCTCCCCGCCCTCAGCCAGCTCTGCAGAGGGCGGGACAGCAGTGCATTCAGGGCCGGCAGGACAGGATGTGCTGGGGATTTCAAGGCCAGGGTGTGAGTAGGGACACAGGGCCTGAATGAAGGACACAGGGGGAGACATCCATGCAGCGGTGAAGGACACTGCATGTCCACGTGATGGAGGCTGTGTCACTCACGGGTCCACGGCTCTGAATCAGTCCCCAGAACTGTCCTCCTGCTCTGAGCTCCTGAGGCCGCGGGATCTGACGGCTGCCTGGGATCCTGAACAGATGTGAAGGGTGGGGTGGATAGAAAGGAAAAATGTTTGAAGAAACATGGACCAGAACGTTCTAGTTTTGATGAGCATTAGGAACCCACAGATCTAAGAAACCCGACACACCCCAGCACCTAAAACATAAAGAAAGCAGCTCCAACACACGTCACAACCAAATTCCTCAAACCCGTGTGGAGGAGACCATCAACTGCACCTCCCACCTTCCTGTGAACCTGTTGTGACCTCTCAGAGCAGGGCTGCACAAGGCAGGGGTCACACTCTCTCAGGTGACAAGCACTCTGGGTGACCTGCAAGCCTTAAGCTCCAGGTCTGAGTTCTCCCACCAGCAGGGGGCAGCAGAGCTGCATCCAAGAGCAGCCTGGGCAGAAGCTGGGGCTGTAACAGTCCTGTAGGGTGACAACAATCGGCCCTCAGGGATCCCAGACCAATTCTCTAGTTCTGACTCAGAGGACTGGAACACCCTGACCATCAGCAGGGCTCAGGCTGAGGACGAGGCTGACTATTAGGCTCCCTCAGAGGGAGACCAGCCCTGGTATCCTCAGTTCCAAGGCCCAGTGCAGGCACTTCAGGAAGTTCCATCTGTCTCCTGAGACCCAATGACCACATTGTGACAGTCAGAATCACACAGCGTCACTCCTGGACCCTGACAGGCACCCGTGAGTGCGTTACCTGAAATGCACATCACCTCACTGTTGGAAGGGACCTCTGAAAAGGAAAGGGACACCGTGACCTGCTACCCTCTGCCTCTTATTCCCACCTGCAGGTGCTCTCTGTCCCAGGAACTGCAGCTGCTCTGCTCAGGGCCATCTCAGGGGAAGAGGGCACAGGCAGAAGCTCTGGTCCCTGCCTGGAGCAGCACAGACACTTTAGGAGGTCATGAGTGAAGTGGATTCTCCCTGCTCAGGTCCAGCTCTGGTCACCAGGTTGTCCTTGGTCAGGAACAAGTTCAGCCTGAAAGGAGAGACCACAATGTCTGGTACCCAGAGGTCACGACCTATGTGAAGTCCAGGGGTCTGGGGACCCGCACAGAACACATGGAGCCTGAAGCTGGGGTCTCAGTCAGGTGGATTTCTGGAGCTTCTTCCAGATCAGTTAAAACCCTGATGCAGCATGTTAGAAGGACCAAACAGTGGACAGCCCACATAGCGAGTCTGTGTGGAGAGGGGCGCGGAGGAAGGGACACAGACACCAGTGTGGGTGAGACTGGGAGCTGGTGTGAATCGCCCGAAGCAGGAGCCCATTGAACAAGGAACACATCACACCAGAGGCACCGCACATGCATCCTGACCCCACGGAACCACGTCTAATGAAACGTGACAATGGACACTTGTACGTGCATGGTGACACAGAGAGGGGGTGAAGGAGGAGGGGGGAAGAGGTCGGGACCATGGCCCTGCACCTGCTGAGTCAAGAGTTGTCACTTGCGTCTCAGAGGGTCCAGCTCAGCCCTGTGTCCAGGCTCCTGGAAGGCCCGCAGCCCTGCTGAGCCATCCCAGGACAGACGCCCGGCCTGGAGGCTTTGGGTCAGACCCCAGGGAGGTGACGGTGATCAGGGGTGTGAGAGTCCAGGGATAATTTTCTGACCTGAGAAGCAGCTAAAAGAAGCTGGGCACTCAGCCCTTCCTCCTCAGTCCCCTGGCCTGCCCCCTGGAGGGGGTAAAAGTGATCTCTGCTAACTGCTCACCTTAGAACCCAGTGGGGAGTGCATTTGTATAAACACTGAAACATCAGGGCCCCAGAGGACTGAGAGGGCACAAGGGAGGCCTGGGGAGCCCACGGTGCCTTGAGGAGTCAGGAGGCAGAGCTGTGGGGAGTCTGCACCATGGCCTGGACCACTCTGCTGCTCCCCCTTCTCACTCTCTGCACAGGTGCTGCCCCCAGTCCCTGCCTGCCTCTCAGCCCAACAGGACAGGGAGCTGGGTCCCCCCAAACCTTGATCTCAGCCCAGATGCAGACTTAATGTTGGTCCTTATGGGAATAGGCCCTTAATTCTCAAGCCCCCACTTTTGTCTCCCCCTGGCAGGTTCTGCGACTTCCTATGAGGTGACACAGCCACCGTTGGCGTCTGTTGCTCCGGGACAGACAGTCACCATCACCTGCCAGGTAGATTACTTTGAGGACAGAAGTTACGTGCACTGGTACCAGCAGAAGTCCGGCCAGGCCCCTGTGCCGGTCATGTATTATAGCAGCAACCGGCGCTCAGGGATCCCTGACCGATTCTCAGCCTCCAGCTCAGGGAACACAGCCACCCTGACCATCAGCGGGACCCAGGCCCAGGTCAAGGCTGACTATCACTGTCAGGTGTGGGACAGCAGTGATGGAGCCACAGGGACACAGGCAGACGGGGAAGTGAGACACAAGCCTCCTTCTGTGTCACACCCTCTTCCAGCCCTGGGGGGACTGTGGTCGGGCCACAGCAGGATGGCCCTGGCCCCCGGATGTGAGACCCCAGTCTCCCCTCTCCTCCTTGCCCTCCAGACAGGCTCTTCAGGGCTGTCCTGGGAGACGACACAATGATGATGTCGTCATGGTGCCCCATTTGGTTGAGGACTGGGTGCCATGATCACACGTGTGAAGTGCTGGCTCATGTGACATGTGAGTGGCACAGCGTCTCACACTTCAGATACGGAAACTGCGGCATCTGAGATGGGAAACCACACAGTTTGCACCGGCAACAAGGAGACACAGCAGCAGCGAGAGTGGTGAACTTCATGCCATAAAAGTGGGCACTCCTCAAAGTAAAACAGGAAATACAAGACTGAGAGCTGAGAACAAGCCCCTGATGCACAGCACAAGCACAGGCAGCCCCACACGCGCGGGGCTGGAGTCCCAGAGCGGACGGAACCTGCGCAGTGAGCAGAGAAATGCGTAGTGCAGCGATGGCCAGAATGCTCCAGCACCGGAGGAAAAAAACGAAATATTTAAGAATCTCCACAGAAGTCTACCCCAGGAAACAAGAGGAAACAACACAAATGCCCTTCATCATGAAATTGATCAAAACCAGTGATCAGGAGGCAATACTGGGGAAAAAAAAACCAGCCAGAGAGAAAATAATGTCAAACGCAGATGAACAACAAACTTCGTGGATAAAACAGGCCTGTCAGTAAAGCGACATAAGGAAGGAGACAGTGGAGAATATCTCTAAAGATAAGCTTTTAAAAATATAACCTTAGCCCTGGCTGGTGTGGCTCAGTGGACTGAGTCCTGGCCTGCGAACCAAAAGGTCACTGGTTCCATCCCCAGTCAGGGCACACGGCTGGTTGCAGGCCAGGTCCCCAGTAGGGGGCGTGTGAGAGGCAACCACACATTAATGGTTCTGTCCCTCCCTTTCTCCCTTTCCCTCTGTCTAAAAATAAATAAGTAAAATCTTTAAATATATATATATATATACCTTTAAAAAATCTGTGGAGCTTGAGTTATTTATGCAGCGAATATACCTTTCAAAAATGAAGGTAGAATAAAGAATTTTTACATATGAAAAATGTACAAAATCGGTCACCAACAGAACCTCCACACGAGGCACTAACGGCCCCTCAGACAGAAAGAAAATGCTCCCAGAAGAAGTGGGAATCCACAGAGAGAAAGAAGGAGCAGAGAAAAGGTCACTTCAGGAAAGTCATAGAAACATCTGTCTTACGTTAATGTCCATAGAATTAACTGCGTGTAAATGAGACGTTAATAGCAGCATGCGGTGCTTTTTGATGACTGTCCAAACAAAGGGGTGACGATGCTAGCACTCAGGGTGGGGGCGAGGGAAGAGCAGGTGCAGAGAGTGCCATCCTCTCCGCGCAGTGACACAGCAGCACTGGAAGGTGGGCCTTGGTGAGCTAGATTAGCGCTCTGACCCCAAAGCAGCCATTAAAACAAACCCTTTAACAACAAATGTTACAGCTAATAAGGTGTATTCGCTCGGGTCTCCAGGGAGAGAGAAATGGTAACAGGGGGGTGTGAGCACAGATACAGGTGTAGAAATGATGCAGATACAGACAGATGCAGGTGTGGATCGGTAGAGATGTGTCCTGTGTGCAGAAAGACCTCCACGTGCTGTCCAGCAGATACACTGAGGCAGGCAGGTAGGTAGGGAGGGAGGGAGGGAGGGAGGGAGGCAGACAGATAATAGACTTGAAGGAACTGGCTCATGCAGCTCTTGGACCAGCCTGTGTGAAATCTGTGGACAAGCAGGAGGCGGGGCATTCAGGTCAGAGGGGATGTTTGCATGCTGTGCCCAGTTCACAGAACATGTTACATGAAGACACGAGGACAATGACAATATCCAAATCCAACATCTAGATTAAAACAACACTGTCTCATTTCAGTACCTTCCATCATAGTTACTCCCGCCCCTGAGGGAGAGATGGTGCTCAGGGACCAGCAAAGCAGTGACTTTGATGTTTACATTCAAGCTGACACTCACGCCTGAGACTCCGGAATGTCCCTGTGGGAGAGGACCGACACTGGAGACCCTGCACGTCACTCCTCACTGTGACCCCAGGGGGAGCAGGGAGGGGGACGGCAGGTCCTAGGGTCAGGGAAGCCTCTGCTGCCTGGGGACTGAGGAAGGCTCCTGGGGATGGAATCGGACCCTGAGGGGAGGGAAGCTGGTGGTCACAACGTACTCCCGTTCACCAGGCCAGTGTTGCCGGGAGAACTGCAAGAGCACCCGAGAGAGGAGACCCGTCTCTAGGGAGGACGAAGCAGCGGGACCAGGCAGAGGTCTCTCTGAAAACAACATGGGCCGGCGGGGAGGTGAGCAGAGTCTTTAGAACACAAAATCAAAAAGAACAGAACAGAACAACAATGGATACCTGTCCACTCTCAAGACTTTACCCAGTGAAAATGTCTATAAAAAAAGGAAAAATAGTGCTTTCTCAGATGGCACAACACTTTACAGATTGGTCACCTGCAGACCCTCAGGTGGGAGATGAGGGACACTCTCAGGCAGAGAGAAATGGGGAATCTACACAAAGAGATGAAACGCCTCCTATATATGGTAACTCCATTGATAGAGAAATGTTCTGTCATCTTAAATTCTATTAAAGTTATCATTAATGCAAAAATACATAATGATGTGTGTTGTAGGTTATGACGTATGTTAAAGCATCAATTTGGCAATGTTACCTCACAGGTTTGAGAGGCAAGGTAATCTGTTTTGATCAACTCAGGTGTCTCACTCACACATGGTTCAGGTGAAATGTGATTCTTTCTCACAAGGTTGTAACTTTCGCAGCAGGAGTGATGAGTTGTCAGAATTCTCTGAATCACAAGTAAGGGTCCCATGTGACTTCCTGTGCAAACCAGAAGGGAAGCAGCAGCCCCTCTGCAGTGACAGTCCCTGTGGGTCACCTGCTCCCTCACCTCACTCACACAGGACAGGGGTCACAGTGCAGTGGCTTCTCCTTCCCCAGGGTCCCCCTCAGCTGCTCTGACTTCTGGGTCAGGTGTGTGTGCTCAGTGTGATGTCAGTCCTGCCCCTCAGCCCTTAATGTGACAGGTTCACCTCACATAGGGCCGACTTGGTTAGGACCATAACCACCTTACTTTTTCACTCTCCTTCCTGCTCAGACAGACCAGACCCTCCCCCCAGGGCACTGACCCTGCTGTCCCCACACTCACTTCCTCCTGCTGCTCCCTCTTCCTGTCCTGATGGCAGCTCCAGGGTTTCCTCCAGAGAGACCCCTCCAGCCTCTCCCCACACAGGACCTGCCTATCAGTTCTTGTCTGATCTCAACTAATTGCCTACACGTCAACAACAGCTACACAATTATTTCCCCAAAATTATTCCCCTTGATTACTGGATTGATTTGTGCTCATTATTTTCTTCACCTGCCAGGATGTTTTCAATGCAAAACACACACATGACTTGAGGCGCATGGACAGACAGGAGTATTTTGCCAGGAACAACAGGTCAGGAGTCGGATGGTTGCTCTCCAGGCACTGGCCAATTGCATCAAGTCCAAGATCTTTCTCACTTTCTGCTCCACAGCCCTGGTATGGAGGCTCGTCTCTCCTTCCTGTTGCAGACAGACCTCAGCGTGGCCGCTGCAGCTCAGTTGTCACACCCAGGGCCAAGGGGACAGGCGCTGTGCATATCCAGTCTGTTTTTTTCCTCACAGGAGCAAAGGCTCCTTGGAAGGAAGCCCAGCTGACTGACACACCTGTGGGTCAGCACTGGGCCACAAGGTTGATTCTGGCCAAGAGGGACGTGAGAGTAGCACTCGTCGGGCTTTTAAATGGGCATCGCAGACAAGACACGAGTAGATGGTGTAAGCATCTGCAGTGTCACCAGCGCAGGTGTGTTCACTGAGCTCCCACCACACAAAGGGACCTCTGAGACAGGGACTGAGTCTTGTTCACACATATTACCCAGCATGTGATGTCTGCCAGACAAAGGGGCTCTGACCCATGTTTGTGGGTTTGTGTCTCCAGTCTCAGCTGTGGAGCAGAATCTTCCACTGTCCTATTTTGACAAAGCACCAGTGGTCATCCTGGGACATATTTGCTTAACTCACAAGCACAGATCACAATTGGAAGGTGAAATCTCCCAGGATGGCACTCACAGGGACCTCCTCTGTTGTCAGAAGACCCACAGCACCCACAGATAATGTGTGGTTATTCTGATGTCCGGTTATTACGATGTCAGGTGAGAGGTGCATGTAAAACTGTCACCAAGGTTCACCATTCATTAGGTTCTTAGAAGTAGCCATCTGATGAAGCTACTCATGTAGGGTGATATTCCACGTGTGGACACCAGAGGGCACTGTGGGTCCTTGTTTGGGGAACTTGACAGGTTAAATGCCTTTGTCTGTTTCATGTTGAAAGGACATGAAAGAAGCTCCTTTGAAAACACTTCTATCTGGTAAAATCAGCTCTTAACGATGAAACCCACACCTGCACCTCATTCTGACCTCAGGAAGTCACCAGCAGGAGGCTGTTAGGCTCAGGATTCGACCAGAGCTGAGACAGTTGAGGAACAGAGAACAGATTTGCATTCATGCTCCTCCCTCTTGAGCTGCTAGGAGAGAGGATAAGACAGGGGCTTGGAGAGCCCAGGGCCAGCTGGGCAGCCTCAGGGCAGAGCTCCTGGAGTCCCTCCCACCATGGACTGGGCTCCCTTCTACCTCCTGCCCCTGGTTTTCTCCACAGGTCAGGGCATCCTTGGGCACTCAGGGATCTTGAACCGGTTTTCCATGTAATCACTGTTTCAGGGGCATCTGTCCATTCTGGGTGCACTGGGCATCATCCCTGTGTTTTGTGTCTGCAGGTCTCTGTGCTGTGCCTGTGCTGACCCAGCCCCCGGCTGCTTCTGCCTCCCCGGGAGCCTCAGCCAAGCTCACCTGCACCCTCAGCAGTGAGCACAGCAGCTACTACATTGAATGGTACCAGCAGCATCCAGGGAAGGCCCCTCGGTATGTGATGCAGCTTAAGAGTGACGGAAGCCAGAGCAAGGGGGACGGGATCCCCGATCGCTTCTCAGGCTCCAGTTCTGGGGCCGACCGCTACTTGACCATCTCCAACCTCCAGTCTGAGGACGAGGCTGAGTATATCTGTGGTGTAAGCTATAGTACTGATGGCCAAACTGGTTAAGCCACAGTGACACAGACAAAGGGGAAGTGAGGCCAAAACCTTCCTCGTCCTCTCCCACCTCCCCACGGGTTCTGAGGGATGTGCTCCCTCTCGTTCCCCAGGACCCTGAGTCCCTGACTCTTCTGGTTGGCTGTCCCATCATCCTGCACCTCTTCCTGGGGACACCCCTAAGGAGAGGCAGATGCAGCTCATAACTTAGGCTGACACGACTTCATCCGTAGCAACCATCTGGCCCTTTGCTCCCATCTTGGGGCTCCTCTCAAGGAAAGACCAAAGACCTTGCTGTCCCAGTAGTGACCTTGGAAGTGGGAAGAGTGACTGTATTGACTCAGGACACCTGGGAGTGAAGCAGGAGTCCTGTCAGGACTGAGGTCCGGCAGGAAGCATTTGTCCCTGAGCAGAGGCAGGACTGAGAGACCTGACACCCTGGTGGGGGCAGAGCTGGGTCTGGGAGGGAAACAGGTGGCTGTTGGCAGGGCTGCGTCAGGACCCATGTGGAACACAGCCTGGGTCCTCCATCGGTGCCAGATTCTCAGCCTGTGGTACCAAGGAAAGCTTCGCATGTACCCACAGGAGTTTTCTGGGGACCAGACAACACCAGGTCCCTGGGGGCAGCGGCAGAGCATGGGAAACGGGGACACTGGCATGAAATACATTGCTCACTGGTGACAAAGCTCAGCCCTGTGGGTGACTCTCCTCACATACACTTGGAAGTTGCGGGTTCCCTGGTTCACTATTTTCCTCTGCAACTTTTGTACAAACAGAAAACAAAGCATCTTTAACATACACCCCACCTTGGAGTCAACATGGAGCAGCCCACTCTCCACAGTAATACTGATTCCAGGACACTGATCTCAGTTGGCTAAGCTGGGATCTCAGGGCTGATCCCCAGAGACTGAATCTGAGATGAAAGTCCAGGAGCTGCCTGTGGCCTCTGGGGCCCCAAGGAGGCTGGAGGGGAGGAGGTAAGCTGGTCTCCGGGGATGGAGTGGACAGGGGGCAGAATAGGCAAGAGAACATGGACTCAGGCTCAGTCCTGTGGTGACCTTGGTCAGCCAAGGGCGCTGGATCATGGGGACCTGGGACCATCTCCATCCCCCCCTCTCCAGTCAAATGTTGTTCTCTACAAGGGACACAGGGATTTTGTCCCAAACAAGGCTCCCATGCATCCTCTAGTAGGAGTGTCCTCCACCTCCCACACTGCAGGACAGCACGTGGGGAGCACTGTGAGGAATGAACCCAACCCGAGTGTGGACCACACCTCCTCCAGGTCCACACGGGGCCTGTGGTGCAGGTAACGTGGAAGAAAGTCAGCAGTGGCCTCGATGGACAGACAGAGGGATGCCCCGTGTTAGTGACGACAGGGAGTGCAGAGGCAGCAGATGCAGGTCACCTCCTGCTGTGTTTAGATGGTGACCAGCCAGTGAGGCGGCTGCCACTTCTCGTCCCAGGTCACAGAAGGACAAGGCCCCTTAGAAGCCGTTTCTTCTGGTCAGGGATGTGACAGGGTCAGGGTCTCAGTGACACCACTGTCAGCTCTGTCATGTACAACTGACTCCTGCTGGTCTTGCTCGCAGCCTTGGCAGAGGCTCCAGAAAGAGCAGCTGAAACAGGCCCCAGGACCTGGCCAGGAGGCAGACGGAGCTGGGGAGAGAGGGGCGCAGGGCCAGAGGGCACCTGAGCAGAGGAGGTGACCTTCCCCCGCAGGTCCCTCTGCCGCTGCCTCGCTCCCTCTCTGCGTCTCTCTCACTCTGTCAGTCCGTTTGGGTTTTCGTTACTGGTGTATGTAATTGGTCAGTCTCTCTACCTTACGCTCCCGGTCCCTTTTCATTAACTCTCCCTTTACTTGCTTCCCCTTCCCAAGGTGTGCGTGTGCTTACAGTGATGTAAGTGTATGTCAGGTGTGTGTTCACGTGTCCATCCCAGCAGTCAAGGTGGAGAGCACATCCCTGACCACGAGGGCCCCTGTTCTCCTTGTGTAACAGTGTCCACCTCCTCCCGCCCGGGAGCCCTTCCCTGCACCACGAATGAGTTCTTCGTTTCTAAAACTTCTCTTTGCAGAAATGGTCTATTGAAATAGAATAAACCAAATCTTATAGTAGTTCACCATCTGGGATTGGCATATTTTCCGTTAGATTATACCCTGAGATTCCTGCAAATTGCTGTTATATTCAGTTTGTTCCTTTCCTTGCTGAGCAGAATTCTGTGGTCTGGGTGGGTCCCAGTCTGTTTGACACCCACCCGTGCAGAGACGCCGGGAAGGTCCTCACCTTGGGAGACTGCGCACCAGGGTCCCGGGAACACACACGTGTGTGCGGTTTCACTGTGAACGTCAGTTTGCGGGGTCTGAAACGGGTGCCCTGAGCCGCAGTCGCTGGGCCGTGTGCGAACCACCGGTTTGCTGCTGTCAGAAGCCGCCAGACTCCTTCCCGTGTCGGTGCCGGTTCACACCCTCGGCCCCGGTGACCCTGTCTGACCTCGTCCTGCCGTCACTGGGGCTGGTCGCCTTGTCTGCTTTACCATGTGACAGGTGCGCGGTGACTCCCCCATGTTTTCACTCGAATTTCCCTGCTGGCTCCTGAGGGGCATCTTCCTGGGTTCTCGCTGCCATCTTCTGTCTCTTCCGGGGCCTGTCTGTTCTTGTTCAGAAACCATCGACCAGTTTCTAAATGTGTTCAATCCGTTTCTTACCTTCTCACTGTTTATTTTTAAGAGCTTTCGATACTCCAGGATAAATTTTTCACTTGATATTTAGTTTGAAAATGTTTTCTCGCACTTTCTTCTTTTCATCCTCTTGCAACAACACTGCAAAGCAAAATAATGACAGTGGTGCTGTCCAGGGTGGTCCTTCCTTTAATGAATCATGCACCTGGTGTCATCGAGATATTTTGGAAATCTCTACATCCCCCCAAAAACTCTATGTTTTCTCCCCAAAACAAAAAGAAACAATTGTTCCTTGAAGGTATGTGACCTGTCTCTCAGGGTGTGATCATGGAATGTGACCTGTCCCACCCCAGCATGACCCCTGTCCCTATAAGCTCACCCCGCCCCTGGATGATCTTGTCACTAAAGAGGATACCTGATGATCGTCCCCAAGCCCAAGGAGGCTGCCCAGAGATCAGACAGAGGTGGGGGTGCTGCCACTGGTTCTGGGATCAGCACTGTCTCCCCCAACAGCACAGAGAGCCCTGGGGAGACTGGGTACAGGCCTGGGTGTAAGGTCTTGAATTTAAATGCTCCCTGAGCACCGCCCCCAGGCCTGGACTCTGCTCCACTGCACCTGCACAAGGAGGCCAAGGAGGGAGGAGAGGGATTTGCATGAGGAGCCCCTGACAGAGGATAAGAGAGGCCCAGACCACACCCAGCTGTGGGCACAGAGGCAGAACCCAAGGCGCTGCCAGCATGGCCTGGACCCCGCTCCTGCTGCCCCTGCTCACCCTCTGCACAGGTGCTTCCTCACAGGCCCTGCCTGCAGGCTCAGCCCCAGCGGGACCCTGAGCTGCACCTGCCCCAAACCCTGAGCTCAGTCCAGGGGAGCCCCAAGGGGAACACCCTGTGCACAGATATTTGTCCTCAGCCTCCTCCCCTCTCCTCTCTTACAGGCTCTGTGGCCTCCTATGAGCTGACCCAGTCATCTCCCTTGTCAGTGGCCTTGGGAGAGACAGCCAGGATCAGCTGCACTGGAGATTTACTGGATAAAAAATATACTGGATGGTTCCAGCAGAAGCCAGGCCAGGCCCCTGTGCTGGTCATTTATGAGGATAGCAAGCAGCTGCCAGGGATCCCTGACAGACTTGCTGGCTCCAGCTCAGGAAAGACAGCCACCCTGACCATCAGCGGGGCCCAGGCTGAGGACGAGGCTGACTATCACTGTCAGTCATGGGACAGCAGTGATGATGCTCACAGTGACACAGACAGATGGGGGAGTGAGACACAAACCCCTTCCCCATCTGTGTCACACTCTCCTCCAGCCCAAATAGGACCAGAAACAAAGCCATGAGAAGGTCTGGCCCAGGTCCCCAGACCTCAAATACTCAGGGTGCCCCTCCTCAGCCTCAGGCAGCTGTGCAGAGGGTGGGACATCAGTGGATTCAGTCTCACAGGATGGGGCTGACCTGGTGTTTCCAGGGCCTTCGTGTGAATTGGAGACAGAGGGAGTGAGTGGAAGAACACACAGACCAGGACACACATCTTGTGGTAATGGACCATGATTATCCTTGTAATGGTGACTGGGCCCCTCCTTGGTCACCTGTCCTGGCTTTGTCCCCAAAACTACCCAACTCAGAGGAGCGCCCCAGGATGTCCTGGCAGCCTGGACTCTGAACAGAGCAAACTCCGGCAGCAGACTCTGAGGATCCACCTGCATCCTCTCTTCAGGGTTGACCTTCCCTCAGGCACCTGCTTGGTCCTGGCAGCTCACAGAGGTGCCCTCTCTAGGAAGTGCTGCTGGTGGACAGGACGGACCCCCCCCCCCAAGGTCACGCCCCTCTCAGAGTGTGGCTCAGGGTCAGGATGACTTACAGGGCCTCCCGGCTGAGTCCTCTATTGTCAGCACATTGCAGGTCCCCACTCCTAACTCTCATGTTTACCCCAGAAATATCACCCCTAAACTCAAGTGCATGTGGTTCTCCAATCCCTCTGTGCCTCCAGGACACTGGCTGCCAGTCTCGTGAATCTGATCACCACATGTAACAGGATGCAGCCAGAGCCCTCCACCCCAAAGAGGCATTTGTAATGTGGTCCAGATCTCAAGGTGTCCAGGAAATATTGAAAATATAGGATGTCCTCACCCCCACGAGTCTGAACTGGGGTATGGGACCCATGGAGCACGGCCAATGAGAGCTGTTCTGCAGAGCAACAGTTTTGCAAATAACCTCAGGCACGGTCATTTAGCATGTCTCTAACTATAACTGGTTTCATGGATATGTTAAATGGCTGTGGCCTTGCTTTGAGCCAGGGAGATGGGAGGGACTTCCACCCAGGAAGTAACTGGGA